TAACACACCATCCGGACCAGACGCGCAATAATACAAATTTACTCGTCGGTGGCAACTCGAAACACCGACACCAATCCTATCAAAAGGCTGAAATTAATTTCTTTTAACGTAAAAACTGGCATGTGACATGTCCGATTCGTATTAATATATAAAGAGTTTAAGGTCTAGATCAAAAACAAGTGATGAAAAAACAAAAGAGCTATAGAACAAAGCCTATCTTAGCGGATTTCTAGTCTAGATAAGCTAGCACTCGAAAACTCTCTTCTTTCTAGCTTGAATCTTCATCCTTTGCAACTAGCTCAATAGGTGAAGCACTTTTCTTCTGGAAATTTTTTATTTTCGTTCTTTACATATAACTCCTAAAAACCAAGGATGATCGAGGACCTTAGACTTTAGTCGGTGCATTTTGGCATGGAGCGTGTGTCTATTATTCGTTGGCTGTTGTGTACATTTTCCAGGGGAGGTAGCAAGTCAGCCGCACGCCAAGACAAGTTGAGATCACAAATTCGTTTGGAACGACGGCAATGTGCAAAGATATGTACTAAAGATGTTTCGTCTTGGATCCTGTTGGCAGTCCACAGGAAGTTTTAAGAGGCAAGCCAGGTGAAAAAATCACATTTGGGTGAAGCCCAGACGTGCCACATATGAGTGGTTTTATGTCGGTGGGTATGAACCCAATGAATTGATGAGCTAGGTAAGCTGAAAGTGATGTGTACTCACCATGGTTTGTTAACTTCCATGGGATGGAGTCTTTTTTTTTTAGAATTACATAGTACAACGTAGACGCCCACAATACGCACGCATACTCACCCGTCTAGTGTGCTAGGGCGCACATGCACCACTTGTATTTCCCCCAAAGCTTGGTGAATTCCACTGAGTGTTGTAACGAAGTGATACCAGCGATGTTTATATAAGCAACCCGAGCACTATTTGTCAAAGCTTCAGTTTCCGTTCTTTGCTTTCTTTTGCAGATCTTCTAAACGCTTGGTGCCCTCAAGCCAAACCAATTCCCAAAAAAAAAATTCAATCTCCCAAGTGATGGAGATTGCTGCCGTGCAAAGTTTGTGGATTTTTTAGTTGCATGTAGGATCACCTGAAGATCTAGCCCTTGGCATTGGATAGCGCAATCCTGACACATCCAATATTTTCCCAAGATTCTGATATAGCTTTAACATCTCGTGTAGTTGGCGTCTAGAATATAACCGCGTTGTCCGCGTAGAGGGACAGGCGCAACCACGCCATTTTGTTCCACTATATGGAACTTAAACAGAAAACATTAGTTTCCACCTGATACACTTAGAGTCTTAGGGCCTATTTGGAATACGGTAAAATTTTCACGTTCCTACGTTCTTCTATGAAATTGAACCGATTACTATTAAATTCCTGCATCAGTCATGTGAAATCCTGTGTTCCAAACAGGCGCTTATATATATATATATATAGAGAGAGAGAGAGAGAGATTGAATAAGTAATATAGCTCTTCCAGTTTTTTTTTAGAATTACACGGTACAACGTATACGCCCACAACACGCACGTACACTCACCTCCTATGAACACATGTATGCAATAAACCCTACCCATATGAGCACATCGTTTACCAACTATCATGGTGACCCTGTAGCTTAAAAGAAGATGGCAGCCCACCTATGTGAAAGGTGCACTGGAGTGAAATCTGGAAGCAGCTGGGTATGTTTAAAAGCATGTCAGCACAAAAAGGGACTCATTAGGCATTGCTTCCCACGGTAGCAAAATGGAAGGCCAAACCAGACATCATCATCAACCATCAGTTCAGTTCATCACCGTCATTTGCTTCTTTGTCCTTAATCTGTGATGTTATGCCTTGCAGGTATATAGAAAGCACCGGAGACGTGTCGGGGTGTCGCAGCAAAGCATGTCTGGTCATGGGTTCTTTCTCAAGAAAAGGTAAAGCAGTTGTTGTTCTGCAGAGAATAGGAAGGTTTAACAACAGGTGGGGTTTCATCTTCTCTAGATCGAGCGAAGGGCCTGCTTGTGGCATCTCCACATTGCATCGATCCGCAAAGAGGGAAACTGCTGAACTGTCGGTTGTTCATAGGGTCTGTCTGGTGCACCAGGGTTTTATTGGAAATGGTGTGACTATTTCTACAGGAATCTTTAGTCCTGAGTCCTGACAGGTTTCTATTTGCTTCATACAGAACCTTATAATACACTGATCAGTAGTCGCTGAAGGCGATGTTGAAAAGAGAGGGCGGCCCAGTCCTGGATGCAAAAGTTGAATGTGAAACGAGGTCCCATAAAATCGATTGGTGACTGCCAGGGCAGGGTTTCCGTCCGAAAAACACACTTGGACGAAATTTTCAAATTTCAACAACCAATGTGAACCTAGAGACAAATGTTGGAGGAAATATATAATGTTGAAACTTGGAGGTAGCAATTGACCTCGTGGTACCAGTAATTCAAGTACAGCTGAATAGAAGTCAAAGATAGCAGAATACTCACCAACAACCATTGATTGGAGCAACCATGTGTTGTAACCAGTAAGACATCGATAATAAGAGGGGAAACCCAAAAGGCAAACAATCCGAAAGAGAGCAAACTGATGATGAAATCAAGTATCTGAATGTTTTATTATGACTATCTTGAGTGGATTCATGACATCATTTGTTCTTCGATGGTATGTCCGGTCTACAAGAAACAGAAATGCACGTGTGCACACACATCCGTCTAGACTGCTTTGGAGCTGACCGACTCAACGGCTTAGTAAGAAATTAAAAAGATTAAGTTGTCTTAGGAAAGCTCACTTCGTAGCTAAAAAGTTGCATTTTTCTAGTAGTGTTCTTAGGACAATATGGATGTCAAGCACTGACTCTGCACCAGTCAGTCTCAGTGCAACATCAGCATACACAACTGTTCAACAAAGTCGCAAAAAGCATGAACAGTCGAATGGATGGTTATCTGCTGTGATTTGAAAGACCAGATGGAAGAGGTATACGGACAACATGTCAACATCGAAAGCCGTCCGTGTTCCTGTGCTAAGGTTTGAAGGGCCCCTTCCAGAATATGGAAGGAAGAGAAATATGATGTTGCACCAATCTTATTGGAGTAGGTCAGATGTATGCATCAATTAGATTTTTTTTTTCAAAAAAAACAGATTTTTTTAATGGCATTGCCGACTTCGATTTGCATGAGAGAAAATAATCACACAAAGTATCTTGTGCCTATTTTCATTGTGCAGTTGATGAGACCTGAAATTGTAATTTACTGATCAAACTAGAACTAAACACTAGCATTGTATTCCAATTAGTTTGTCTAAAATTTTACATGATCACTTTAGGGTCCTGAGTCCAGATAACACGAAAAACAAGAATATAGCGTTTTATGTCACTGCTATCCTCGGCCATATGATGACCCCTTGGATGCCATTGGTCTTCTCTTCTGTTGACCCCTAAATGTAGATCCAGATCCAACAAATCATCTGCCTGAGCTGTTTCTAGGGCGTTCTTCAAATGATTCTTCAGATTTTACAAACCGCCTAGCATTTCCTTCTTCAGGTCTTGAAAATCTCCTAGCATTTTCAGCAACTTGTTGTTTCTTTTTCATCTTGCTGGTGCTAGGCCTATACAGAATAACAGAGCGATCAATTTGGTCAATGGCGATGGATCCTGTTGACTGCTCAAGTTAAAGTATCACATCAGGTAGCTTCCCAGGGCAGTTCCCATGAATTTTTAGCTGTTATAGCGTAGGAATCTTGGTGAGAAAAACCTAACAGCTGTGAATGGAGTGCAGAAGGAAATGTAAACTAAAGCAATAAAGAGCCCAAGATAAATTGAATCTTGCAGTCTTATTGTATTCTTGCACGTGAATTGGAACAGAACAAATTTCAACTTAGGCTGTGTTTAGATGCCGAAAAAATTTTGCAAAATTCTACTGTAGCATTTTCGTTGTTATTTGGCAATTAGTGTCCAATCATAGTCTAATTAGGCTTAAAAGATTCGTCTCGTGGATTTCGTCTAAACTGTGTAATTAGTTTTATTTTTTATTTATATTTAATGCTTCATGCATGCGTCCAAATATTCGATATAACGGAGAATCTTGAAAAATTTTGCAAAATTTTCTGGAACTAAACACTACCTTATCATAAGTGTCAGACTGTCAGGCACCAATAAGCACAGAGTTACCCGATTCCAAAAATGTGTTTTCCACACTTGGGCGAGTCAGAATACAGTATTTTTATTAGACTGTATTATACCTACTTCATTTTCATGACAAACTTGAACGTTATGATTTGTCTATCTAACTACATATAAGTAACAGATCATATTTCTTCACGAGGACCCTGCTTCTTGAAAGGTGTTGATACAAAGATTGATAATTGGGTGGAATCTCCGTACACAAACACAAATTAGCCCATCACATTATCACAACAATCCATGGCCCACAATGTTCAATTTATTGCCCATTCTTACCACTTAAGCAAAATAGAAGCCCCAACATTGGATAATTGGACTACCCTATTTAAGAAATTAGGGTTAGCAATACCAACTCCTTAATCTAATATTGATGAATAATAATCAGTGGAGTCCTTAGTTAATTATAGAATCTTCTAGCATCATACTCATGAGTGTACATTGGTCATGAGCGTCAACTCATATTATCAAGTTTAGTGGGACCTAATGATATGGTTAAGTTGCTTCTCATTCCAACAAAACCGAGAACTTAAAGAAGCTATACAAAAGAAAAGGGCTACGGGGTTTTGACAGGAACGCATAAAGGAATAAAGACTGATGCTTACTGCAACAATCAGTCTCACAGTTTCATACACAAGAGTGACCTCCAAGCCAGCTTCTTGGTCAACTAAATTGCCGAGGAGGAAGAAAAACGAGTGCCAGGAAAGAGAAGGAAAGTTAAATGGAAGGTGATTGGCAGTCCCCTGAGAATTGCAGGGTTAGAGTTCAGACTTGTTGCAACTCATGTGGATAAAAGTTTTGCCATTTTTTTATTTTTCGTTGCCAATTTAGCTTCTAAATTTGCGCCTTCTGCATTACATAATGGCAAAGTGTATAAACAAAAACCCGAACTAGTCACGCCTAAGTTTCATAGACCTTCCTTCTTCAACCAAACTCCCAGCCGACTTCAACTTGCCAGATCTAGCTGGATCAGCAGCACAGTGGCGCCAGAACCCTATCCATACGATACGACAGCCATGCTTGGAACTGGACTAGTCCTTTGTCATGTGGCAACAATGAACTAAGAAGTCTTACAATGGTCTCACTTCCTTTTCTTTACCCGATGTATATTTCAGGATGTGGTTTGTTCAGCATGCGCTGAAGCAGAAACAACACACAATTTCCTTGTAGGATTAAAACCACATGCATCATGGATTTGGCAATGGGAGAGAGATCAGAGAGGGCAAATGGGGGCATACCTTTAGGAGCTCGTTGGACTCGAGGTTGTCACTGAAGGCGGAGACAAGGTTGGGTGTGACGCCGCTCTTGCCGACCTGCTGCGATTTGAGCTTCTTGCCGAGGCCGTGCGCGTACGAGGCCAGTTCATTCCGCTCCTTCACGCTCAGCTTCGGCCGCGGCAGCCGTGGGAGCACGAACTACCTGGGCGCCTCAGCCTCAGCCTCAGCCTCGGCCGCAGATTCCTCCTCTACCGACTCCTCCTCCGCGTCCGGCACGCCTACAACATCGGCGACGGCCGCGGAAGCTGAGGCAGAGGCGGAGCCGTGGTCCAGGGAGGAGAAAAGGCGATGGGAGGTGAGGATACGGAGGCGAGGGGGCGGGAGACGAGAGGAAGGTACGGAGCGGAGGTGGTAGGAGAGACGGGCGAGAGGAAGGCGGAGGAGGGTTACCGCCGCAGCCATGGTTGCTCAACGGGATGCCGCGGAGCGCTGAGGCAGGGGATAGCAAGCTGCAAGTGCAACAAGACGCAGAAGGGGATAAGAAATTAAACTCGGCCCACCAGTCAGTGACCAATATGGTTCTAAACCGATTACAATTCAAAACACAGCTGCCTCAAAAATGTACAAGTAAACAGAAATTCCGATTCACACTGGAGTGAGCTTGCATTTGAATTTTGAACTCCTACCAAGAATTCATAAAATTTCGTCTACGTTGTAGGTTTGTAGCTCATCGTCTCGACAAATCTTGGCCATCTCAAGGCAAAAGTGCTTGACCAATTGAACATACTTCTGCTTATAGGCATCGTTCGCTTGTCTTAAAATTTGGCTTGTTCGGCTTATTTTTTCAGCCGAAACAGTGTTTTTCTCTCACAACAATTCAGCCAGAACAGTGTTTTCAGCCAGTGACGGGATGAAATGGCACTGCCATAAAGAATACGATTTCAATGTGAATGGTAAATAATTGGTGCTTGACTTCTCGTTTTGTTGTATGCTTCAAACAAAAAAAAAATAGGTATATATTGACAGGATAACTGAAGAATGAATATAAGCATTAATGTTCAGTTCCTGCCACATGAATTTGAACAATGCAGACGGCCAGGCAGGAACAAGCCATCTAACAGGCACAGCTTTCAGCAAAATTACTGATCCTCTGAAGATAACAAGCATAATACACATTGTACAACCCCGAGGATATGTATGGCTAGCGAAAGTGTTAGAAACCTTGGGCGACTTTACTTGCAAGCACACGCTCTCGTTTCTCGATGTAGTCGTAGGGGAACCAGCCAGCTTTCCCCCTGCATTCACCTTCAGCCCATCCATTGTTCGACACCTGATTAGGAAAGTTTTTTAATGAAAAATCAGTAATCAAGTTTGAGTACAATGTGATTGAGGCACTCATGAAATGAGCAACCAATCTTTGTGAAGCTGGCCGCAGCAGGTATGTAATATGAGCAATTAGTAAGTTTCTAAATGGCCCGTGCACCTGGGCTAAGCTAAGGAGTAAGGCGCAGGTTCTGTCCTGTATGAGAAAGCACTACCTTTCGGACCACTATGTAGTCACCAGCTGAAAGGTTGAGCTCAGTATCACTCTCTGCTCGATATGACTGGATTGCCTGCCAAAGAAAAATGACAACACATATGTAGATTATTACAGGTAAAAATCAAGAGAATCAAGACCTAGCGCCTGGCAGCTACAAACTTGTGCAATGTGATGAAACAAATTACCTCAGCCAAGAAATACTCCACAGTCTCAACCAATTCTGCAACTGTATTCCTCATGAATATACCATTGACCTCTTCATATGCAGGCGGCGGAGGCATGGAACTCTCAACCACTGGAGGAGGTGCTCCTTCAATTCTTTGGCGCTCAGATACCATCTAGAAGAAAAATAAGAATGCTCAATCAGGATACAGAACCAACTAGATTTTTCTTGAAGATGTAGAGTTTCTTTAGCACACGCATGGAAAGGATGCAATGCGAAAACATCAGTACCTCTCTCTCAAGTTGATCAAGAATTTGTAGGACCTTTTGGTGGTAGTTTCTCTCTGATTCAACCTTGAATTAAGTCGAAAAGTGTCATTAAACACAATAGGCAATTTTCAAGACGAACAAAAAAATAGTCAAGTCGCCCAAATGACCCAACTAGACAAATATGTACCAATGCAATAAGACGCTGCAGTGTCAGTCTTTGCTGTTGGGCTTCAACGGCAGTCATTGCTGCAACAGCTTCTTTGCCCAAAACCCCCATATTTGATTTCAACTCCTGCAGCTTTAACTCAGTTGCTTCTAGCCTTGCAACCATATCACTATTTCCAGATGCTTCTCTTAGTTTCATTTGGCGTTTTGAAACTTCAATAGCCTGCAGGACTCAAAAAACCAACTTTCCCAATTTATTACAGGAACAAAAGAAAAGAACTATATAGTATGCCTAAGTGACTTCAAGTTAAAGAGAAATAATTAAAAAGCTTTGCAAACAAAATGGGAAACACAGGTGGCTGAGCAATAATTCTAGCACAAGTGCGCCAAAAAAGAAAAGAAAGTGTGATGATGATATGTCTGGATGGATAGAAATAGCTTCTATTAATGGCTTATGTGACCTGAGTTCGAATTGCATAGGGTAGTGCCCAAAGTACCTCATAAAAAGCAATGACACACTCATGCATCAGGGATGGTACTAGTCAAATCCTAAAATTATATGCTTTGATTCTAAATGGTTTATCAGTTACTATGAGAAATGTATGGTGTACTAAATTTTTTTTAATTATGCCAAATTACCATGCCTATTTGAGTCAGTAAGAGTCATGTAAAATACTGCTTGGTACCAGAAACATAAGATACAAAGACAAGGTAAACTTATTGTGCAATAGTGTAATACATATTGAAATGACCTGCGCTTCAGCTTCTTGACGCATTCTGTCGTATCTTTGGGCGAGGTGGCGAGCATCCTCCAAAGGAGCTCCCATAACCATAGCCCTCAGTGGTTCTGCAACCTGATGACAGTTTGCATTACTTGTATCAAGTTTTGTCCGGGTTTGATTTAAGAAAAATGTACAAAGTATGAAAGGATATTATGGCACTCATGGTAAAATTTTAAACATAAGAACAAGAAATTAAGAAAGGATCCTCAAACTGGAACTTCCAATCCACTTCAGTATTTAACTGTTGACTGGCAGTTTCAATCCACTTCAAGTATTTAACTGTTGCAAGTTCTAGATACACTTACATATAACATGAGCAATTTGCAAGCTATTTAATTAGTACAAATCACCCTAACATACACTACTATCCTATTAGTAGACGACGAAGAAACAAAAAAGAGATAAGCATTGCTACCCTATTAGTAGATGACCAAGATACAAAAAAGAGATGAGCCAACAGAAATGCTTGTGTTTTATTCTGTGTTAAGTAATGATTAGTCCAACAAAAAATGCTATACATCAGAGCCTTGTGTCATTTCCTAGGGCAAGCATAACGCAGAACACATATATGGCTCAAATTCCATAATCCAGTGCATTCGTACATTATGGATATAAATGCAACAATGGGCAACACCTGTGTGCCGAGGGCTTTCAGCAGGTTACCCCTTTCCTTTTCCATCATGGACCGTGCCTTAGCAAAACTTAATGCTGCCTTCGACAGTGTGCTTCCACTGGTACAAGTGTTCTCAGTGCCATACTTCTTGCCATCCTCACATAACTTGTTCCCTATCAACACAAAGCACATTACGTTAACAGTTCCGAAATTCAAATTCATGTGTTCAATGAAAGAGACACGGGAGTTCAGCTGTCTACCGATCTCGACTTGCTTCGACCCCGTGACGATGTAGCCCTCGACGCCCCGAACAATATCCCTTTGGAAGTGCTGGGAGGAACGACAAGGCGACACATTATGTAAGCAGATCCAGATCCTAGACAGAGTAAGTACCAAGCAAGGACCGCGGCGAGGGGGATCATCCACCATTTACCTTGGCGGCGCGCGTGGAGATGTAGAGCTTCTCGAGCTTGGAGTGCTGTTGCGCCTCGGCCTCGTCCGCGAACACGCCGTCTGCGCCGTACCCACCCCCGAACTGCTTCATCACCGCCTGCGAAACAGGACACGGGCGGGCGCGAGCACGGCGCGGCATCATCAGTGATCAATACCAACCTAGAGAACGACAACCGGATCTCGGAGGAGCCGCGTCAAAGGGAGGGAGGGAGGGCGGACGGTGCGAGCCCGCGGCCGGATCGCGGAGGAACGGATGGCGTAGATCTTGAGAAAGGGGCGGCGTGGCGCGCTCACCTGCTGCTGCCGAGCGACCTGCTCCCGGAGCTTTGAGGCCTGCTTCCGGATGGCCTCCATTGGCCGGCGGCGATCGAGAGGGTCTGGTCGGTGGGAGACGGAGTTGGGGTGGGAATGGAGCGGGGGCCGATGAGAGATCTGAATCAGGGAGGAGGAAGGAAGGAGAGATGGCGTCAGGGTCAGGCTCCCGCTCCGGCGTTCTCTCTCTTTGTCCTTTTTGTTTTTTTTTTTCAAACCGAGGGACATCCCCCATTTCCATTACCAGACAAAAATGTTTAGAGAGTATCAGAGGGGATATAGCTACGCTACAGGAGCACCCCAAAAAAAACTACCACCTGATCACTGCGCAACAAACCTGCAAGGCCTAACATCTGACTCAGATGAAGCAACCATCAACACAAGAGTTTAACAGGAACACAGTAGCAGGCTAGAACAAAACAGCTAAACGAAGAAAACATCCCCAAGCAACATCCTGATCACACGTCGATCATCCAAAAAAACGAGGGGGGCAGTCGTGGGAGGATCTCCCTTCAGTCCTTCTGATTCTGATGATTCACGTCCTTGTCCTCCAGCGCTTGATACCCAGCAGGCTTCTGTTTCTGGTTCAGCAACTTAAGCGCAATTTGCAGCATCGTGTTGGCTCCAGCAACTAGCAGCTCTTCATCATCTTCGTGAAATAAACCTGCCCAGTAACTAGTGAGCGCACAAGCATGGCATATGATAGAGATAGGATTTTGAATCATTTTTCCATCAAAGCAAGCTTTGTTCCGAGCCTTCCAGATGGCCCAACAGAAATCAGCGATCCCAGTAGCATGAAATTTTTTGCCATTGGGTAGCCATTTCTCACACCAAAGCCAACATTGTTCTAGGGAGTTAGGAATATCAGTAGCCCCTATGCAGACTGCCACGGTCGCCCAGACCGCCTTGGCCATGCTGCACTAGAACAAAAGATGAGAAACATGTTCCTGCACCTGCACACGGTACGGTGCACATCTTGCCCGTATGAGATCCATGGCTTCTATAGCCCATTTGGATCTGTCTATAGCTCACCCGTGTGAGCCGACACAATTTTTTTCTCCTCTCTAGTACTGTTCATCCTCCTCCCCCTGACGCCCGCACCGTTGCACAGCGCCCAACGCGCGGCGGCGGAGCTCCGGCGAGACCCTACCACGCCCGCGACGGC